AACAAGAAAAGTAATAATTACAGTCGATCTACTCGTATATTGTTGTCCATGAGTTCTAGATAAAAGCGTCATTTGCCCGTTTATATACGCAAATGCAACGAATTTCGCTCGTGATTAATAAAAGTTTGACCTTTTTTAAATTGTATTTGCAACATCTTTGCAGTATAGCATCGCAATGTATCTAGATACAATACGAGAAGTTTGAATTGTTATTTTTTTTTCTGTTGTTCTCGTTGATTTTTTTTTGAGTCTGAATAATTTTACTAATTGAATTTAATTTGTTTTGATACTGTTTTGTTATATTGCAGTTTGCAGCATTTTATTTATTGTCGGCAACATACCGTAGCCCACAGTGCTCTGGTTTGTTGGTTGCTTGGTTACTTGGGTACTTGGTTGGTTGCACGGTTGGCTTTTTCCTGATGTAACGTTCGCATTTATAAAGTAATTTACGATAATTTGTTGCAATTAGTTTTGCAAACATTTTGAAATGGATTTGACGTTTACAGATTGTAACAGAAAAATATTTCGTTTAATGTTTGCTGGAGTCCAAATTGAAATTAAGAAATAAAATAAAACTTAAATGGCATGTAATTTTTTATCTTTTTTACATTTTTGATTGGCGGTTATTAGATTTGATTCACAAGTCGTGATGTGGCTACTATAAACCCAAGGCAGTTTTCAACTTTGCGACTGTCTTTTAAATCGCTAGTATATTTAGTAACGACTTTGTAACATTGTGATTGCTTTAATGAAGTCATAAATGCTGTTTTATAATCTTAAATGTTTAATGTTAAACTTAATTGCAATTAATTTCTTATTGTTGTAAAAGTTACGCAAAACAACTTTCATTGCAAAATGTTCACACCATTAAACTTATAATTATAAGTAATTTCCGTCTACATAATTAACTCTCAACATTCCAAACATTAAATAGTTCCGCCCACACTGTGAAAAATATATACATAAAAGCAACGGTTTACACCTGCATTTGGTAATTAATTGTATTTATTATTCCAATAATTCATACAACAATTATATTTATTATTTTTAGTAGTCGTGGCGTTGAGCTGTTGACATTGTTGAGCTTTCCTTTTTTATAGATAATTATTTTTTCATTGTAATTATTAATTATACAAATATTTCATCAAAGTATGTATTTATATGTGAATTTATGCATAAATTAGTTAAATCAATAAAAAAAATTAACTGATAATTAAAAAGAAACTATTTGCTCAATAATGTTAAACTTGATTTAAATTATAAGTTAACTTTCTCATGTTTTACTTAGAATATTGCGTTTACTACAATATTAATATAATTATAATAATTTTAATCGCGGAAACATTGTATCTATAATTATTATATATAATAAACTATTACTGTGAAAGGAAGTTCTTGTTAACAATATTTTTTATTATAGAAAAAATCTTTCCATTTAACTTGAGGTTGGCTACCAAATCATCACCCACCTAATAGAATCCTAAGACAGTCATCCTCATGCTTGTCAGTGGTGGACATTGTCATAATATATGCACCGCTGTCTCTGTTTCTTCTAGACATAGTCTGTAAGTGATTTCCTCAACAAGAGTTATCTTTTTGAGGTGATACTTGAAGTTTTCATGAGGTCAACTAAGCACTCATTGGTGCTCCGTGAATAGCTAAGCACTTTTATCGCTTTTTTGATTTACGATTTCGGCATCATTGGTGTGGCCTGTCTTCAAGTGCTCATCCCTCTCCACCTGTTTAGATAATGTGAAGATAAAGACAGAATTTAGAATTTATTTAGAACTTAGAATTTATTTAGCATTCAGAATTTATGTGGAATTTAGAGTTTATTTATAATTTAGAATTTAAATTTTACTTAGAACTCAGAATCTATTTAGTATTTACAATTTATTTAAAATTGGGAATTTATTTAAAAATTATAATCTATTTAGAATTTAAAATTTATTTAGAATTAGTTAGAATTTAGAATTTATTTAGTATTTAGAATTTAGTATTAATTAGAATTCAGAATTTATTTAGTATTTAGAATTTATTAAGAATTTAAAATATATTTAGAATTTAGTATTTATTTTAAATTTAGAATTTATAATGGGTAAGGAGTAAAGCACTATCGCGAAGACTTTAATACAGATTGTAACAAAAAATTAACAATAATAGAAATTCCAAAAACAGTTAATTCCTATAAAAATATTCGAAAATATCACGTAGTCAGATAGATTTTTAAGAATTTGATTCAATTTTACCTCTCATATATCGCTTAGGACATACATTCTTCTTCTTCTAGGTGCCTTGTCCGCCTCGAACGTTAGCTAACATGTTTACAATTTTGACTTTAACTACAGCCTCTCGAAAATTCGATCTTGTACTTTTATTGAACCATTAACGTAAATTATTCAGCCATGATATCTTCCAGGACCACGTCTACCTTCAATTGTGCCTTCAATGATTTATTTCAGTAGTCCGTACTTTTTCGGATGCCTCAGAATATGACCAAAAACCTTCAACTTTCGTCGTTATAGTGTCTCTTTGTTGACACAGGACATACATTAATTATAATAAATGAAAATATATCATTTGCTGTACAAATGATAAGCCAGTGAGGCAGCTATATGTAAAGGAATATTCTTTGTAATAATATTGCTGTAATGGATTTTTTTATCTCAGACATCTAACATCAGCAGTCTGTGGTTATTAATTATAGTCAATTCAAAATAATTGGTTTAATTAATAATAATTTAATTGTAGTTAAAAAATCTTTACTATTTCACTCTTTTTTATATGAATTAGCTATTTTGTCATAAGAACTAATAAATATATATTAGCATATTAATTAATTTATTTTTGTAATAATTTTATATGTATATATATTTCGTTTTTAATGACATTTAGTAAAACTTTTATTTTGAAGACTGATTATTCTCACATTAAAAATATTTTCATATTTTCTTTGAAATAATAGATATAAGAAACCCAAGTCGTAGATCAAAAATTGTTTACGTTTTGTTTTAAAATCTCCCGGATATGCTTTTGGATTTTCCAGCACTTTCTAAGTTTTAGCTTCTGAATACATTAAAGTTTTCTTAACAATGCAATCTTCTTAAAACAACTTTAGACTTCTTGCAAAAATACAATATTACGTATATACATAATGTATCTTATTGTTTTAGTTTACTTTTCCTCTGTTTTTTTTTTTTTCATTTTTAATCATAGCCATGACACTTTCTTTTGTTTTCCTTATCATTGTTTCAGTAAGCATTGTGTAGCCAGGACCCGAGGTTAAACAGGACTTCTTAATTTCGGTTAAACCACCACAAAAGCCTTAACCTTTTGCTACTTTATTTTGGTATACATGAATATATATATATATATATGTATATGGTACAGGAGTACATATGTTATACATTATGTACACATTTTATAACCTAAACCGATGCAATAGAAAGTGCGTTACGAAAGTTTTTACATCATTCAAACTTTTGTTAAGTGCTGTCAGCTATTTTAGGTTTCGGTTATATTTTTGTTGATAGGCCGCAGACATTTTATAACCCAAGGCAATTCTAAAAGTTTGAAAGTAATTTTTTTTATCTTCGCCATGGTTTTTGTTGTACACCATATTGTTATAGTATTATTATTGGTTAGAGTGTGAAATTTGGTTTTCGTGGTATAAACTGGAGCCCACTTTCTGTTTGCGAGAAGTTAACAAGAAGTATAGAGTTAATTTTTGATTTGATCCTCTTGTGAAAACTACTCGTATAGTTTGAAAAGTTTGGTTTAAAGTTGGCAATGGCTGTGACTAAATTGTTTATTCAAAAAGATTTGATTACATTATAAATAAGCTTTATAGAAAAAACGAAATTAATTTATTTAATGAAGTTTAATGAAGGACCTCATAAGCAAGACTAATTTTAAATAAACTTCACATTTTGGCGTAAAAAATTTCACCCCAGATAATTTCTTATATTTTGTTTAATTTTTTTTATTTATAAAATTTTTGTGCGTTCTGCCATTAAATTATATGCCCAATTTAATGTAATTAATGTTCATTTAAAATGAAGTAGACGTTTTGTTAATGTGTAGTTTAAAATGCTCAAAGTATTTCTCATAAATAAATTAAGATGCGCCTACATTTTTGCTCAACTTGACGTCCGTCGCTTCCGTAGTACTGGGTTGAAATATGCGAAATTCACCTGCCATCTTCAGCGCTAAAGGTTGTTTACACACTTTTGTTGTTCCATTTACAATTAGTAATGTTTCATTTAATTAAAATTACCTTGTTGATAATTAACTAAATTTGTATGAAGTACAAAGTAGATGACTTCATAGAAAGCATTTTGATGAATTTTTAAACAACTGATCATTATAATGTGCTTAATTTACTCCTTGAATAATATATATTTTGTAAGAAATATAGTAAGAAGCATAAGAAGAGCACTGGGATAACGTAACCTTGTTGATAATTAACTAAATTTGTATGAAGTATAAAGTAGATGACTTCATAGAAAGCATTTTGATGAATTTTTTAACTGATCATTAATGTGCTTAATTTACTCCTTGAATAATATATATTTTGTAAGAAATATAGTAAGAAGCATAAGAAGAGCACTGGGATAACGTAATAGACCCACAGACGCTTCACATGAGATCTGACACATATAATTAATCTTTAACGTAATATCACCCATCAAGACGTCATATCTGTCGAACCGCTATAACCTTAGAAATTCTAAAATACCATATTATTAGTTTAATTGAAATTTTTAATTTCGTTTTTATATCGTATTTGGGTATATCTGTCTCTCTCCATAAGTTTGTTTCTAGGATTTTCTTTTCAAATGCAAAACTGCTTAATTATATTATAACCTATTCTTAACAACTTACACAAATGTTTTGCAACCGGACTTAGTGGTTTTATCTACTTCTAAACATCTTCTTTTATAATATTTTAATAAAAACTATTATTAATAATAATTTTTGTTTAATTTTTTTATTTCTAGTCCAACTGGTGCCACACTGCGTACACAATTTCAAATTAAGGATTACTTATTATCACCAGGTACCTGTAAATGTGGTTTACCATGTCCACTGCGCCCAGAATATTTTTTCGATTTTAATGCTCAGGTAAGTTTTTATCGATTTAATAAATTTGCTTTAATTCTATCATTTTAAATATATTATAATAAAATATTATAATTATAAAATTTAGATGTTTTAAAAAAATATTGCTTAATGATTTAATCACAATGAAGACCAATAGAAATATCGTGGGATATTGTTTTTGGGTTGATTTCTATAAATTTTAAAGTCTATTTATTAGCTTATTTGAGTTTGGAGTGATTGTTTCTATTTGACTCTAGATGGCTTTTGATATATATTTAGTAAGGATGTTCTTCTAGTTTGGTATAAATTTGTCTTCAGTTTCAAAAATCTCATGTCTTTAAAGACTCTGTATGAAAGGAAACAGTATACATCGTAAAAGAAAAATTATAACACGCATTTTTAATATATGATGTTGGGAATAATGTGAATGATGTCATTAAAATCGTTTGCAGTTAGGAATATACAATTTTCTTTAACTTGATATTCAAGTGAATGTAAATAATGGCCTTCATTTTTTACATTTGCTTTATTTAAGGTATATATTGAATTAGAATAAAAAGTGACTTTCAATGGAGTGAAGCACTGAGACCATTGGAGATCTTTTATGTTAACAACAGACTCTAATCGAATAAAAGGTTATTAGAAGATTATGACATCATAAGAATAGCTTGCAGTTAGGGAATTTTCTATTATCATAACTTTAGATAGACCATTATCTTTATCTTATTTAAGGATTATATTGGAAAATAAGTATAAAAAGGCTATTAACTTTCAATGTAGTGAAGCACTGAGACCATTAAGGATCTTTAGTGTTAGCAGCCGATTTTAACTAAAAAAAAGCTTTAAAGCTCTCTGAAGTAAAACCAAAACGTATGATATTTTCTAATATCAAACGGATATAGAAGCGCAGGTGTACTATTTTTTTTCCACTATAGATGAAAAGTGGACGGTCATAAAAAAAAAGTAGGTTAGGTTAGATTAGAGTAGAGGCTATATGCCCATATACCACTTGCGCTTAAATAATGATCTGTTGTGATACACTGGATTAGCTATGACAATCAGATGTTTATGCTACTGTTTATACGCAGAGCAAAAGGGTTAACGAAAGTACCCCACTAGTTAGAGTAAGAGTAACCCCGAAAGGCACGATTCCACCAGTCAGGTGAAAGTACAAAGAATACCTATAAATAGGATTGATAGTTAAGATGATAAGATGAGATAGACTCATCTTGTTGATATGGTATTGCAGGTCATGGCAATAGGTCAGATAACCTGCCAACAGGCTTAGCTAAAACTGGCATGAGTATTTGACAACTTAAATATATATATATGTGATCATATGCATTTCTTGATATGCATATATCATTTAACTATTGATTAAGTGAAATTTTACATATGTATATATGAATATATATATTTATGGTATGGTATATAAATATGTATTAGTGTACTAAATAGTAAATCATTCATTTGAGAGATAATTTTTTGTTTTGATTAAAGAGGGAGCTTTTGTGGAAATAGTTCAATTTTTAATATAAACAATAATATATGATATTAAAGCAATTTTTTTATTTATTCAATATTAATAATCTGCATTGTATAAAAGTGTATATATCCTCAAAATGATTTCCTCATAATTCTTGATTATATTTTTATAATCAATAATTTTTTAAATATTTTAACAATTTTTTCTTATTAATTGAAATTAGAGGAACTAATTTATTGCTATTTTCAAGCTCTAATCATTAAGCTTATTATTATCAAATTAAATTAGTTACCTGACTTCCCTTTAAAAAGTATTTTAAAATATTTTTATGCTGCGATTGCACAATTTATACCTGTCATAATACAAATTGTCTCTTCCTTCGAGCCAATAATTGATATAAAAATATTCTCAGCGGTCAGGTAAATTACACATTAAAATGTATTGTGTACATTTTATAAGTCCTAATGACTATAACTAGTATTTGCTATCTAAACGAGCAAACAAAAACCAATTTAATATATATGGTATAGCGTATATGATATATAGTATAAGTACAATAGCTTAGCTCTGACCTCCATTGCCAGCTGCAAAAGACATTGAATTCTAAATAATTGTATTTTATAAGTGTATCTCAACAATTGATCAATGTCGCTGTCTCCGCATTTCATTTCGTGATGGGAATGCTGCACAGCACACATCTAAAAATCTTTTATGGCAACAGTGTTCTCCCCTTTTGTTGGCCATACAGTCATTTATTGCCTTACCGTAATTGCCACATCAATAATTGACTATACGCTAGGATGTCAATAATAATTATAAATCTTAATTATAGCTGCAAATAATTGAAGGACAGGAAACTGCACCAACGTATGAATCTATATAACATAGTCAAGTGAGAGGGACTTTACTTAAAAGCACTGCAAAAAAGTGTTGGCATTTATGACTTCAATTTAAGGTGGGGGAAATACAAATTAAAAGGCAATCAAAAATATTGCATACGAAAACAGAGAGACGAGTACAAATCAAACCTAAAAAGCAGGAACATATGAGGACAACCGGTTCGATGGTTG